TTCTTTGTTTTTCTTTTTGTAGGGTTTGTGGCATTGAAATCATTCCGCAAGGAGAAAGTATTGGAGAAAATCGGGCTAGGGAAGGAGGACCGCTACTTCTGGCAGCAATTGAGCAAGGCATTGCTGTGCACCTACACAATTGCCGCCCTGGCATGGGTTTATAACGAGACATCGCCGCTGGGGTGGTGGACCCTGAAACCTAAGCCCAAGGAAGAAAGGGAGCTGGCCCACCTCTATGAGCGGCGAAGGTTTCCGTATCCAGGGGATGATGAGGCCATGGAAGAGTTCATTGCGAATGGGGGGATGATCGGTACAACCATTGGGCCCAAGGGGCTGATTGAGTCGGATAACGATTCTTATAACTATGAGAAAGCATTGCAGGACCAGAAGATGGAGAAGGAGGCTCTCAAGCTGTGGGTGAGGATGAGGAATGAAGTCATCTCTGAACTCCAGGATAAAGGGTTCGACGTCGAGTAAGATGATGAGGTCGCTTTGCTGTACTCGTTGCTGTTTCTACAGGTAAAATCTTTTTTGTGATCAACTTTGCCCCTTTGTGAATCTCATTGACATGATGGTCTTGTTTGGGAACAATGTTTTGGGAAATTTTGAAATGGTGCCGATTAACTTTGAAAATGCTAAAGCTAAACGCCGCCATGAGATAGCCTTTTTCAAAACGCTAAAACTAGTTGCGGAAGCTTTTCCCAAACGGGCACGCACAATAAATGGCCGTATTGGAAGTGTTTGGTGTTTTGTGATCTGAGCTTCACAAGTCACAACAATACACTGTTGTTATGTTTTTTTGGAAATGGCAAAGTAAAGAAACTATCAAATTTAGTGGAGAAGAGTTACTTTTTACTTGTGTTCTTTGGGTATGGTCATAGGGGTTTAAGGTAGACCACTTAATCAAAATATCAAACGCCGTTGGTGCTTGTATTTTGTTAACCAATTGTGCTTCTGAGCACAACACAAGAGCTAATGGTGCAAAAACCCTCTTTAAAATCTCAAAGAATCGCCAATCAAAATATATGCCAACACTTGGATATTGGAATAAACTGGAAAGAGTTATAATTAAAGTGTTAAAAAGTTACTCAATTAAATAATCATTCAAATAAATATGTAAGAAACTATAATTTTGAATAAAAAAGAACCCATTCTAGTCCATGTTTGGAGTGGAATGTCATAAATTTGGATATATAATAGTATTGTATTTTTATTATATATAAATACCTTTTTAAGTCGTTGGAAAAAACTAGAAGATGTTGGGAAAAAACTGAAACTAGGAGAAGTTAGAAAATGTTGGAAGTTAATTTTTCCAACTAAAATAACATAACCTTGGTTGTGTGACAATATATGGATCTAGTCTCTTGTAGGTCTTGTCCACATCCTGTAAGAGAGGTATTATTGATTGAAATGGTCCCCGTGGCCAATGTTAAATGCAAAGCATTAAAAACTGATCAAAGGCCAAAGTTGTAGCTCTTCAGTTTGGAAGAGCACAAGGACCGAGTCGGTCACATAGGATCCGTCTTTTAGAAATGTCGAAGGGTAATTTACGTAAATGAGATCTAAATATATCACTTATTCTAACGTTTGACAATGTGTCATAAAAGGGAATAAAAGGTCATATTCTAGGAAATTTATTACTCCGTACCTTTTTGTCCTATATGGAGCAAATTTTCAATGTCAACACTATGAAAAATGCTAGGGGTACACCTTTGGTGTACCCCATATGTCCCCCACCCCCTCCTTGTCCACTAAAAAAGGCAAAAAGATTTTTAAAAAAATAAGTAAATAAAAATCAAACCATTTTTTAAAAAGATTTTAAAAAAAATAAGTAAATAAAAATGAGGTCGATAGGTCTCATTTTTGTAAAACAACTATGAACTTTTTTGGACCGGTTAGCCCGGTTAGGACTGATCCATGTCTGATTCCAACCCGGTTAAATCAAACCATTTTATTTTGTTTTAATGAAATAATTTAATATTCAGATTAAGAATAAAATTAAAACTATAACGTCTTACTTTTGATTGTCTTTTTTATTTATTTCTATACTTCCGTTGATTTGTAAAAAATATTGCTCCCGCTGTCCCATTTTAAATTGTCTGTTTGCCTTTTTTCTCCGTCCCAAAATAAATTGTCTGTTAGTTGTTTTCGTAAACTTTTAAAAATAAAATACTTAAACTACCCTTAAAATAAGTCACTCTTCTTCACCTTATCTTTTCATTCATCATCACCCCTCCTAAAAACTAATGGCAATTTCGGAAAATCAACTATATTTTTTTATTTTCCTTAAATATGTCCAAAAGTCAAAACAGGCGATTTAAATTGGGACGGAGGGAGTATGTAACAAGTTTTTTATCTTATATACTCCGTCCATCCCAAAAAGTCAATTACATTTCGAAAAATTTGCGTCCATTAAAGTCCTTTACATTTATATTAAAATAAACCACTTTTACCCCTTACTTTTTCATACTCTACGTATCACATCATACCTTTTTCCTAATAATGTACCAATCACATCCTACTTTTATCCATCACATCAAGGGTATTTTTAGAAAGTCAACACCAAAATATCCATTCTTATTATACCACTTTAGTCAAAATGTACCAATCATTTTGGGACGGAGGGAGTATTCATTTATTATTTGTATGGAGTATATACTTGCATATTGTCTTTGAAATTTTTTAGTTTTGTGATGTCATATTTGTAAATTTATAAAAATGTTCAGAGTCACACTGTACATTAGCAGGATGGAGTTTGAACAAAATTACATATTTTTCCATAAATGATCAAATTAGTATTCCAAAAACAATCAAACTAGTCTCAGTTAGACCTGGTCCGGTCCACAAAGGATCACCATTCCTGTCTCCGGTCTAGTCTTTCACGACCTAATTTGAAGAATCAAATGTTGGGCCGGTCTTAAGGACAACTTCGATCTCAATCTTTCTTGGCTTGATCTTGATCCATCCTGCTCAACTTTTTTGCTCTTCAGCATGTTGAATCCATTCATTTACATGGTGAAATGGGCACATTTTCCACCAATCATTCGGCGTTTAGCTTTAGCATTTTCAAAAATTTTTCTAATTACAACGTTTCGTTTTGATATTTTTTAAGTTAATCTAGCTATATATACCATTAAAAATTTATCCAAAATATTAATATCAATGGAAAATAATATTCTCAAACAAGTGTCATTTGATACTTCTCTCCCTAATTTTATAATTGCCTATTGCGTTTATATTGGGTTTTTTTCCGTTTGCGTAAAACATCGTTTATTTACTGTTGAATCCACTTACCCTCGCAACTTTACTGTGCAGCGCACTTCTCACTCAGGCGGTGGTGCCGGTTATATGAAGATGATGAAGCATGGATTTTCTCACTACCTCTTCTACTTCCTCCAGGTTTTTGCTCATTTCTTTTCTCTTTCTTTTTGCCGTTTTTTTCTTCTCCTGAAGGTGCCGTTTCTTTTCTCTGCACTTCTTATTCAGCCGTTTTACCTCTCCACTGACGTTTTTCCTCATTTCCATGGAGGACGGAGAATTGTTCTTTGTTGCATGTGAAATGTAAATTTAGATCTGTTTTGGTCTTTTTTTTTAAATTGAATTGAATTGAAATTCAATTGAATAGAATTCGAAGGGATAGAATTGAAGCAGCAATAAAATTGAATATCAATTTTATTGATATTCAAACTTTTTTTCCACTGATTTTATAATCCTGGTTCAAACTCATTTTCTTATTCCATGTTTGAAACTCAATTTTGACCACTCATTTGATTTTAAAGATTAGGATGTTTTAATTTCTTTTTTGCATGTCCATTTGGGAGTGTTTCTTTTGTATTTTAGTTTGAAAATGAGTTTTGTATGTAATGGATAGAGTTTGCTGTTATGATTTTTTAGTTAGAAATCATGGAATTTGTTCATCTGGATTTTTAATTGCATGTTTGAAGTTCAATTTCAACCATTCATTTGATTCTAAAGATCAGGTTGTTTTACATTCTTTTTTGCATGTCCATTTGGGAGTGTTTGTATTTGATTTTAGTTTGAAAATGAGTTAGACCCCAACCTGCAACACATCAATGGCTATTTAGGCTGTTTTAATTTCTTTTTTGCATGTCCATTTGGGTGTGTTTGTATTTGATTTTAGTTTGAAAATGAGTTAGAATCCAACCTGTAACATATCAATGGGTATTCAGGGCTTTATAATCAGCAGATTATATCATACCCCCTCTGTTATTATGTATCTTTCTACATTCTCCAAACACCTTACACTTTTTAGTTTCATCTTTTGATAAATATTAGAGGACGGAGTCCTGTGAATTTCCTATGATAATGGAACAGTTTGGATATTCCAGCAAATGACACAAATTTAGACATTGATAGACATTAGGTCGTAATCTCCAAATCTTCTCGAGAGTTTGTTATTACAGGACAAGGCAAACAAAGAGCAAATGACTTCGTCATCGTTGATCACGAGTACGTAATTACATAAAGAGTACATTTCTGGTTTTTGATTTGTTATTTTGATATTTGACTTATGCTTGATAACTCCTCCCTTTCATCCATACTCGCAGTGAAAGATGCATCAATAGTAGGAACTATGAATTTTTCAATTAATGAATCCAAATATTCATTTCTCTTTGGTTGAGGCTGAATTGATTCTAAATGGATGATTGCCTGCAGTACAATGAACAAATGAAACATTCATTAACACAACCCAATTAGGAGTTTAAGACAATGAAACAACCCCATTAATCATTCTAAGCATGTGCTGGGTCGCATACTGGTACATAAAAGCACAGGGGACAAGAAAGAGAGATACCTCAAGTAGTGGTTTAGACAAGTGTGAATTTTCAACTGCCTGATCAAGGACTTCTTTAGCTTTGTCGCCTTTGCCAGTAACCTTCAGAATTTAAATGTAAGGTGATGAAGACAAAAAAAACCAGATATAACTAATTGATCAATCTGAACTGCGAAACCAGTAGCTTTTTTTTAAATGAAACAAGGGGTTTTCCTTAAAAATTAGAGACCTGCTGTATACAAAGAAATGATCTGTATGATTGCTGCTAAAAATGCTGTCTCTACTACTTTAAAAAACTGCTTCTTTGCGAGAGTAGTATTGTACTTTAGGAACTCAATGTTTCTTTTGAAGAAACTCGTGACCTACCAACACAAATTGTCCATTGTTTAACTTGACTTTTGGTTTTAAAATTTTAATAGCAGATTACTATGAACCCAGTGTTTTATAGTTTCACTTTTGGTTTTAAAATTTAAGTAGCAAATTACTATGAATCCAGTGTTTAAAATTACCCTTGGTTGCAGAATTGCTTCAAAAACCTGCGGATTGATTGAATCAGGAAGATGGAGTTATTTTCTTTGTGAGAGTACTATTGTACTCTAGGAACTCAATGTTTCTTTTGAAGAGACCCGTGACCTACCAACACAAATGTCACCTCTTCTCTTTTGGTCCCTTATTGGATTAAAGCTATTGTCCATTGTTTAGTTTGACTTTTGGTTTTAAAATTTTAGTAGCAGATTACTAGGAACCCAGTGTTTTATAGTTTCACTTTTGGTTTAAAAATTTTAGTAGCAAATTACTATGAATCCAGTGTTTTATATTACCCTTGGTTTCACCTAGCAGATTCAAACCGATTATGCTCACCATGTGGGACGAATTCACAACTGTCCAAGGCTCCGAACTTGGGAAGATACTTGCAAGTGGTAGCTATCCACCGATACTCGCAAAGAGAGTTGCTGCCACATCCTTCCTAGGTAACTCAAATCTTCTCCTATCACAAACTGCATACATACATACATATATACTCCCATAAATATAATTAAAACCCTAAAGTCATGTATGCGCCTTTATACATGCAGGTCTGTCCTTGACAACACGTTTCGACACATCTATAGAGATAAATCCCACAACCCCTCAGGCACTTGCACTAAGAGAATGGTATGTATATCAACAATTATTATTTTTCAAAATTCAAAATACTTATTCACACCAAATTTTATCTTACAGGAGCACATCAAACACAACATCAATCAAAAATGTTCTCCAGAAAGATCAGCACCACGACACACTCAGTCAATTTGTACGTCCAGATTGTTTTTTAAAGTCAACTACTTCTCACGTGAAAGCATCAGACGACAAGGTATGTATACCCACTACACGTGTGTTTCAATGGAAATCTGGTAGGGAGTGTGTATCTTAGGCAGTGTCCTGCAACCATTTCATACTTAAACATTGTACTCTGTCACAGCATAACACCCCGCATTCTGATTTTTAACAGGAACAAATCTTCTGGCTCGAAGGACATATTAAAATCCTCGAAGATGGTCCTCTACCATACTATATAGGATGTGATACTTGCAACAAAAGGGTCATCTTCACTGAAGGAATAACATTCAAATGCTTGAACTGCGGAAAGAAAAATGCAATTACAACAAAGCGGTATACTCTTTTACTCCATTCTCTTTCCAATTAGAAAGGAGTGACAAAAATTAAAACATATCAAATTACACATCGTAATTAAAACATAACAGGTACAATATGAACGTTGAAATAACTGACCACACTGGAGCATTGGCTATGACAATCTTCACGCACGAAGTCAAAAAGCTGTTGCGCATTCTGCAAACAAATGCACCAATTGAAGACATCAACTGCACCAATCTCAACAACCAGTTTGCGCCAATGACAGCCACAACTGCAGTCAAAATCATACCGCCAAATTACCAAGGAAGAAACGAAACAACATAAGCAGTCCCATGCCTTTACAGTCTCTCAACCAACGACGCACCGACAACCTCTTAGGCGAACACACCAAAAAGAATTCTCACAGACAAATCCGAAGGCGAGGGCAAACAAACCGAGAAAAAGCAAAAGATCGACTGAACTGAAGCCTTGGGAAACAATGACTCACACCGTTTTCCAACCCTACATATGAAGTGGTGTGATGGCGTACTCTCAAACATGATCCCAAAGTTCTTTTGTCAACTCAAGAGAGAAAACATTAATGCAGCTGCCAGTAGGCAACAATGTAATCTAAATGATGCAACTTATCTTTTGACTCCATCATGTAACTCTATCTATTGATGACATGCACTCATGTACCTATGAATCCATCATGTAAATACTATGCTTTTGTTTAATATATAAATATATTAGTAATTAGTAACAGCAACAAATTACCAACCGGGCAACCAATGCGCAACTGCGCATTCCACCGCTAGTGGATATATATGATGGGAAACTCTCAGCTCATGTAGCACTAATAACGTTTATGCAGTGCATGATGTGCGACATTATTATTGTTTCATTCCAATGTATACATAAAATCTCTAATTAAATGTCTCATAATTGCATTCAGTGTATAAATAAATAAATAAATTAAACTGAACTATACACTTAACAATACCGTTTGAATTTAATTCCATAGAGAGCTGAGGCATTTATAAGAGACCATGTAACATCCCAAACAATTTTAAGTCCCAAACATAAAGGAAAAGAATGGAGACTCAAATCACATTTTGGCTCTCTCTCTCTCTCTTTGCTCTTCCATATCTCCGCCGCATACACCACCTCCGCCGCCAACATTGTCTACGGTTTCCGACAATGCATGAATACACGTAATTTGGGGAACGAACCCTCCGTTTCCGGCAACATTATTTACGCCGCGAATGACCCCTCCTTCTTGTTGGTCCTCGGGTCCCGCATCCAGAACACAAGGTTCAACACCTCGGACACCCCAAAGCCTCTGGTCATAGTGACCCCCAGGCACGAGTCCGAGGTGCAAGACGTGATTCTCTGTGCAAAAGAGCACGACTTGCACTGATACGGAGTAGTTTGTATAAAAATGAGTAATATAAAAGGCTAAAAGGCTGATATAAAATGAGTAAATGAGGCTAAAAGGCTCTTTTCATGTAGTGATACGGAGTAGTTTGTATAAAAATCTTAAAAAAATAATAGAGTAATATAAATTAGAAATGATTAATACTTCTTGGCTTCCTCTATCCCCAAAGTATTTTTTTAGAGTTTCAAGATAAACTCAAAGATCACAACACTCTATCTATCAAGGAACATGGTTCTTATCCTTTCTACCTTGTTTAGTTGGTGGCCCAGAGAATGTAAAATGATATTGTTGTTGAATGAAAAGACACAAGTTTCATTTACACTCATGAAATAAGTACTACTGTACGAGTACTATATAAAACCATTAAAAATACTTATTTTACAGTATATGGTTTTAGGTTTCATGCTTAATGTTTTACACAGTTTAGCTTAAGCAATTCAAACGATCCAATATCAATACCTAATTTTTTATTTCAATTTCACAGCTAAGAAAAAAATAATATTTTAATTTGAGTAAAAACTGTCATTCAAATTTTACATTCAAATCCCTAAATATGATTTCAACATACTAAATTGAGAGAAAAAATTAAAATACCTCAATGATAATTGTCACGACTAGTTTTGTAGATCTTTTGATATAGTATTTTGATATGTAATTTTTATTTTTTAACTATATACCATTTGTCATATAAAATGATTTGAACATAACTTCAGTCAAACATCGTAAACCGAAACAGGCGTTATAAAATGGGACGGAGGGAGTACAAAACTAGTAGTGACAAGACTATACTTTCTCCGTCCGCAAATAAACTTCTCGTTTACTATTCACAAAGTAACTTTATTCACTTTGTTGGCTTATTTCCGTTACACATTTGATAAAATAATATAATCATGTCATCCCTAGTTTTCTACTCCATCCGTCTCACAAAAAAGTTTCCCTTTCTTTTTTCATCCGTTCCAAAAACACTTTCCATTTCCTTTTAAAAAGTCATTTTTAGCCTTACTAATTTTGAACATACCTATCACATCACATTTTTTCTCTATTAATCTATCCATCCCATCTTACTTTATCCATCAAATCAAAGAGCATTTTTGGAAAGTCAACACCAAAATACAAGCCCCTTAAATTCCCAAAAAGTCAAAACGGAAACTTTTTTAAGGGAGGGATGAAGTAGATCTTTCGATATACTAGTAATTTTTTTGTATGTAATTTTTAAATTCTTCGACAAAAGATTAAAACTTAAATAAAAGTATAATGTAGACATAATAAAATTTGAGCCAAAAAAATATAAAAAGATGATTATATTTATCATATACTATGTATTAGTATATACTCCTTCCGTTCCTTAAAACCTTTTTCTCTTTCATTTTTTTCAATTCCCTAAAACACGTTCTTTTTCTATTAAAAAAGTACTTTTACCTATATTTTTTCATGTCATACTTATCACATCATAGTTTTTCACTAATAATCAAACTATCACATCTTACTTTTACCCATCACATCAGAGGCAAAATTGGAAAGTCAACCAAAATTGTATTTTTCTTAATTTGGCTAAAAGTCAAAACAAGAACTTTTTAAGGGAACGGAGGGAGTATATTTTTCTTTTTATTATAAAACTATTTTTACTAATGTTATTTTTTTAAAGTAACAAGTAAAACAAACATGGTAGAGGAAAAAAATTTGAAGTGAACAATGGCTACTGTATCTGTTTTAGATTGATTGCAGGACAATAGGCCATTAAATTCGCATATAATGCATGTCTAAGAATTAAATGTATAAAGAATTTTCCAGTGAGTAAATTTCTCCCTTAAATACGTTAAGGGAGCTGATAAATGCCTTTCAAAAGCTCCGTCCAGTCGCCCACTCCAGCAACGCAACAACTCACAAATGCTTTTAAACCTTGCCCTTAGTATATACGGGGTAGTATATTTAAGTATATACCTATAAATATACACATTTACATAAAATTACAAAATGGTCGTGGGACCCACCCCTATTTACATGTCATATCAATAAAATAAAAAAGTTATTTTGGAACCTCTATATTACAGTAATTACTATACCTATACAAAAGAAAAATTACTCTAAATAAGAATAAAACATTAAAAAATTATTAAAATAGGACTTCCATATTTTTATTTTTGAAATAGGAGTTCACATTGTGGTAATGTGGAGGTAATGTGACACTGTACATGGCACATTGCTATACTTTTTGATAATAATGTACATGACCTTGTTTGGTAATGTAAATGCATTTCAATTCATATTTCAGGAATAAAAAGATGAAACTCCTATTTTGGTATATTTTCAATGTTTTTCTCTTACTTTATTCTTTTTCCTTTATAAAACATGTAACCTTTATGGAATGCAGTGAAGTCGATTGGAGTTACAAAACATTGCATGAAAGATTCAAACTGAACAAGAAATATACTGCAACAAAGATAGTATAAAATTTTGAATTTATAGTAGACGGAATAAATTTTAACTAATTTTTATGTTTTAGAAAGTACAAAACCATCAATGAGAGAATTTGATACTATGATACAATGATTTGAATATACTTGTAACAAAAATTTCCCACTCAAGAAAAGTGGATCAATACCATTTCAAATTTTTTTAGAAATGTGAAAAATGAAATACTGTTTAGAATTGTGGAGTGCTAATATTATCTCTCTAACTATAATTCACATTAACATTTTACATGATTTTATAATGCTATAGATTTTCAAATGACACAATAATTTGATAATATTTTCAAAATGTTTAAAGTTAATAAGTGAAACTCTTATTTAAGAAACGACTCCAACATGTTGAATGTATGTAGTTAAACACGTTATGAGAGCTTATTTATGATATGGGTTCAATATTTTGAATGTACGCCCTTACATACATGTGGTAATCCTCACAAAGCTCGATGAGAGAAGATATGGAAATGGAAGACTTTTTTACACTTTTAACATTTTTTGATCTTCGTGTCAAATCAAACCAAAAAATAAATTTTTAGATGATGAAGTACAATAGTATTGGATTTGAAAGTAAATTAGCCCAATTTTAGACTATATTAAATAACTTAAAAGATAAATAAGAATAAATTTAAAATTTTAAAAGCATTATTGGTCTTGTTAGAAAGAATTTTGAGTGGTACAATTGTTATCCAATAATTTTTTGTATACTCCGTATAAAAAGTTACAAGTAAAACTAACAAGGCAGAGGAAAAAAAGAAACAATGGCTACTTTGCCACTTTTAGATTGTTTGGATACCGACAATGAGCAATGGGCCACTAAATTCACACGTGTAAGAGTTAAATGTATAATAAATTCCCACGGAGGGAATTTCTCCCTGGGTAAAGTTATTTGTATCCAAATTTTTGTACCCCACTTTGTATTCTGCAGGTTTGCAACAACGTTTTGTGTTGGTATAAAACTAATTTTTGTTAATGCACCAACCCTTTGTGTTTATGTAAATTTTTGTTAAAGCACCAACACTTATGTCAGTGTAAAACATCAAAATATTTGTGTATAATTGTGTGTACAAATGTGGTATAATTTGTGATGTAAATGTAGTCATGTAGCATGACCCTTTCTCCCTTAAATAGGGCATGGGAGCTGAGACAAATCATATGGTCCGTACAAAAACATAACTTAAATACGTTGTGGAGGTCGAGACAAATCCGTGAACTCACCTGGTGTAACACCCCACCCTGGATGACCCGAGTCATCCAGACTAGAATGCTAGTAAAACCGGGTTACTTTGTAAAATATCATTTTTCCATAATATATTTTCTTTTTGATAGCTAAAGATAATTTTAAAAAAAACGTTTTCTACGTTAACTTAAAGTAAAAGTATCCATAGTTAATACAACCTTGGGTTCAAGCCCAAAAATAAAGTAAATTTAAGTTCGCCGTCTTATCCATTATTAAATACTAAAAAAACTCCTTGGCATGGCCTCCACGTCCATGCTTTCCTCCTCAGCAGTTGTTTTCCTTGCTAGTACATGCGTGCAGTTAAACACTACACGCTCAGCATAAGCTGAGTGGCAAATAACCAGTAGACATATATAACATGTAAATATATTTTGGGCCTTTTAAGCTATTCAAATTATTTCAAAAAAAAAAACTTTTCGCATAATTGAAAATCATCGAGAAAATAATTTCCCTTTGAGTAGTTACTTGGGGACATTTAGAAACTTTTGACTTACTAGGTTAACCACAGATTAGGAACTAAGCCGTGACTAGGCTGGAACACCGCACTAGTCGATTCGTAGTTTTATTTCGGATACCTCCCTGTGACCTCGGGTCCAGTAATCAGAAGTGAGCTCTAGACC